GATCATCCGTAAGGCCGCCAAGTGCAATGCCCTGCAGTGCGCCATGAGTCACACTCCTGGCCAATCTGATGCCAGCCATGTGCACGCAGTCACACCTAGACGTATGTCCTGACATATTGGAAAGTGTGTGCAAGCACGCCGTACGTTATGACATACCGCAAAAAAGCACATGCGCAGTCATGCGCTCCGTCAACCTTGGTAGCCGTACGATCGCTCGAGAGGGTTCCCTGGGGACCCGTTCTAGAGGGATAAGAGAGCGCGGGAAAGGGTGTTGCGGCGCGAAGGGCGAGCGGAACACATCGCCCCCGAACTGCCTGACGAGTGCGAGGAAGAGACCTGGACATGGCAGACCTGGTCGGCGCGCCATCCATGGGAATGTTGGCCAGGATGCCCTCGCTCCACCACCTCCAGAACCGAGAGTCAACGGCCCGCCTCTTGAGGTTCAGGCATGCCTCCGCGAGGCCCTGGATGGACCGGTGGGCGTGCCATTACCATGGACTGCCCCGACGGGAAGGGGCCTGCCTCAGTGGTGGGCCCGCGCTGCTTATGAGTGGACTTGGCGTTGGAGGCTTGAGCGGACAGACCAGCCGCTCAGGTTGAAGATTCGCGCCTTCGTTGTGTGCGCAGTCCCAACATTTCGTTGGGGTCTTGCACTGCGTCAGAGGGTGAGGATCCGCCTCCAGGGATGCCGAAGGCGTTGGACTAAGGAGCACAATGAAGTTTGGACGATCGCGGAGCGCGATACAATGCACAAGAAGCCGAAGGCTTTTGGATACAAGGGGGAAGGTCCAGCCATCCACCCCGCCGAAGGCCAAGGAGGTGCGCCGTTGGCATTTCTGCTTCGGTCGGAGGATTTGCGGTGGGAGGTGGTCACCGCCTCCAAGGTTAAGGCGTGGATAAGCTTCCGCGGAACCTTCCCCCTTGTTGATTATTTGGAGGGGATGTGGCTGGCGGACGCCTTGACCCGTCGTGAAGAAAAGCAAGCCGACAGGGCGAGGAGATTGGCGCTTGAATCCCAGTTGCCGCCCAGTTGGACGGTAACGTACTGGGAGCGTTTCAACGAACGACTCCGGCGGGGGACCCCAAGTGCCCGCGCGCATGCGGAGGAGGCGTTTGCATGGGGCCCCGGCTGGGTGCACCAGCCGGGGGACCCCAATTACTATGGTAACCGAGAGTGCGAGTGGTGCACAGCGGACTCTATGTATCCCATGTGCACCTTCGCACGCTCGAAGGGCAAGACTGCTGAATCTTTGGTCACCACGGATGAGGAGTGGGTAAAAAGGGAGAGCGAGGGCGTTATGGGCCCCCCCGGATGGGAGCCGCGCCAGTTTGTTCGCCTCGGGTTCCTGGACCAAGAAGAGGATCCCGGCTAGGGAGGACTGCAAGGAACCGGCGCGCATGGACATGCGCAGGCTGAGGGGCAGGGGCTGGCGCGCGATGACGATGGCCTGCTCGGGGGAACGCGGGCTGCGCCAGGGACCGAAGGGGCCGAATTCGTCATCATTGGCGAAGGCCCGCGTGCGGCAGACGCCGAGATGTACGACGGCGATGGGGAGTACAGCGGGGAGCCGAGCATCGGGGGCGGAGGGCGATCGGGGTCGGACAGCGAAGATGGCGGTTGGAGGATCATACATAGAATGCCCTGAACTGAGGTGACGTTATAGGGAAGTGGTTGTGTGATCTGAGTGGATCAAAATAAGCTTGCAGTTCATGTTGTGATCCGGAGTATCACTAAAGTGACCTGGCATGAGTGATTGATTTGACATGAACGGATAAATATGATGAACTGGATAATAGAAAGTGACGGGTAATAATAGAGAAAGATAATATTGACGATGTAATGGATTAAATTGCAGTGAGTAATGGATCTGGACGCTTTGTGAGAGATGACATGGGCTATGAGTGCCTTGAACCTGGGCGGTTATGGGATCAGCATACTCCCATGATATAGACATGCTAATGATCAGAAGATTGAACGGGAAGCTGAGGGAGAAAGGAAGGGATGATCCGGGAAGTTAGCTGGATCTGATCGGAATCTTTCAGGGAATATTCCTGGCGTAGGGACAGCCGCTGCGGGCTATAAATAGCGGGGCAGAACCCCATTTGGACAAGCGGCTCCGACTCCGAAGTGGCCAGTCCCAAAGCCAATAGGCGGAGGGACTTGGTAACCTAAACTTTGAACCGCTCTTTGTAGTACAGGTTGTGGCCCGTGGAGGGTCACGGTGTAATTGAATTCGGAGTTCATTTTCTCAATCTTTGTCTCATTTAAAGAGTCATTTTACTGATTATAGACTGGTCTATTGGGAAAACCTGCGGGGCCCCAAACCGTCTATAAATTCAGTAAGGACTCTTGGCCGGATCTACTGGGGAAGCCTGCGGGGTCCCAGATCCGGCCCTGTACTTAGTGGGGAAGCCTTCGGGGCTCCCACTAAAGTACAGTAGTGAAGACTAAAGTACTGAACTCATAAATATAATTAATATATACTGCAATCCTGAAAGCCTTTCGAAAAGGCTATTGATGTTTTGATCCCTTGAAATGGGAACCAATCTGAGTACGGCTAGAAATGACAAAACAGGGAGGTAAGCAATCAAGGTAAGATAAAGTTGAGTCAATTGCGCGATTAGTAAAGGTCAGTCCGAAACTGCGAGAGTACTGCCTCAGAAAGGTCCAGTACTGAAGGGAAACAGAGGTTGAAAGTAGTGCGAATTAGTTACAATACTTGGAACATACAAAACCATCCTATTATAGTTTAAATCTTGTCCAATGAGGAATCAAAGGGCATGAGTCACATCAAAAAGAAAGAGGACAAATCTTGCTGCCCCCCTCAGGTGCTGACGCCTGCATCTAAGCCCGGTAGTGTAGTGTGTCCCCCAGCTCCTGTGAAGGACAATCTACAGAGAAACACACAGGACGCTCAGAAGCAATCCCTAACCAGAAGTCAAATTCGCCAGCTGCGAAAGAGTTGGAGTGAGCTGTTAGAGAAAGTGATTGAGAAGTAGTTCACACGTTGTCATAAGATCTTTCTCCTAAATTAAAGATAAACTGGACGTGAAGGTGTATGCTGATGATGTGCTAATATCTTTGGGCACTGTACGTAGTCAAGGTATCAGCCCAAAGGATTGGCTGGGCATTTTCATCAACACTGACCAGTTGTTGAAATTCTGGAAAGTTGCAGGTGGTCTATTCCTGACACTATTCAGTGCAAATTTACTCATTTGTGGTCCTGTCATTTCTGCGCGCCTTACAAGAGCGTTCAATCGGGTGTTCAACCAGTTGAGGAGCAATTTGCTGTCATTTATGCGCGGGGAATCCCTCCAGCTTGCCGGTCTGGCCAGGGAGATATCCAGATTGAAAGGACAATTGAATTTCCTGTGGAACTCTGAGCGCATAAGGCGTTTTCAAAACAGTCGGGAAAGGGAAGCAGCACCCAACGCGTCATTGCCTGTAACAGGAGTGACTGCTGGTTCGGTCACCAGCCCAATCAATTTTCAGCTGGTCTGTGCCTTTGCAGCTGGAATTGCAATAGGTTGTTGTGTTTCATTGGGATCCCTTTGTTTGGGGATCTGGATTGGACATATTATCTAGATTAAATACACGTGGCCGTGACTCACCAGCCGTATTTGGCAGTCACACACAATGGCCATCGAACAATAGCACCATTTTTCTGCAACCACAGTCTTTTTTTCTTTCAATCTCAAGCAGCAATTCACGTTTTGACATGCACACTAGTCGCAAGCCATCAAGCATAAGTGATCCACCCAGTGAAACGGTGGTCATTATGCGGCGTCGCGAACAGCTCCTTGAAATGCCGTCTGTTACAGCGCACAGAATCGCCCTCCTGCGGTCAGGGACAAGTACACAGACCCCTTGCTGCAAACTGCGCGAGGTATGGCCGAGAGGATTCAAGGGGGCTGTTGCCTTGGAAGGCCTTTGAGCGTCTGATCACGTGCTGAAATGCTGCCTCGCCGAGGAAATGACAATGTCCGTCTGGTGAGTGAAGTCCTGCACTGTTTGTCATTGCACCGCTGCAATTGAAACACGACCTTCGACACGAGCCGCACGGTGTTGTCTGTGCTCAGGACTTTACACGTGAAACCACAAAACTCCCCCTCTATAATACCATTTCTATTTTCCGCTAATGCTGTTGTCTACTGCCGTTACTGCGGTGGATGGGGTGACATTACGGTGATGCAAACTGGCGTTGATCTCAGTCCGCACCTACACGAACACATGCCAATTTCGTGACGTCGAGCGTGACAAGACGGCCAATCATATCACAACATCGCCACTGCACGTACAAAGACATAATGTCGTCGCGGTGTCACCCTACGTCGAGGGCATAAGTGCCAATGCTTGCATTGGGGAAGCACCGGAGCAACGCATGCCCCCCATAAAAGCGAGTCGACAGACGTCGAGTTTGCAAAGCTGTCCACATCAGATCACTGGCGCTGATTAACAGCCATGAATGTCAACGCAAGTCACGGAAGCACCAAATGAAAGCAGTTCATGACACCGAGACGTCCATTTGGCAATGCACGCCAGTCTCCTTTACTGATGGGTGGAACTGTAAAGATGCATGCGACTTACACAGGCGCAATACAAAATTCGTTTGGACTGCGACGCCCGACCTTGATTCCAAAATGATTTCTCGAAACGCACAACAATAAAGAATGCGTGTTCATTCCCTGCTGTCGAATGCAGCATGGCACGAGTCATCTGCATGCATGACAATGGACCAACATTTGCTGATCGGAACACAGCTTCCATTGTCTAATGTGTGCAAGGGCAGTGCATTGTGATGTGTGTGTCGACAAATGTACTCTGAACGGATTTCGACGTGCTAAGGCACACGCCCTTGCACTTCTCCTTGCTCCTTCCATCATGGAGCAGATGCATGTCGCTTGGGTAGCTTGACGCTGACACTCCAGCAATCGGAAGGTGCGTCAGTGCCACTTCAACGCAAGCCAATTGCAGACAGCGATCGTCAACCGCTGTCATGTTAAGACGCACTGTCATCGGCAAACTGGAGGAGGTCGCCACGACCATACAGGGTGAAGACGATGGATCCTGCCAGAAAGAAAATCATGGAGGGCACAAAGAGGGAGAGTGTCCAAGAGTCAGTCTGGTCCATCAAAATTCCAGTCACGGCCACACCGATGATGCCTGGCAGTGCTCCAGCGGTGTTGGTGATGCCCAGGAGGACTCCTGCATACCTGAAACAGCAGCCCCCCATTGCGTTAGTCTGCCGCTTCCTCATTTGGCCATCTTGGGCACAGTTCAGAGTGCGGATGCCATGGAGATTGCATCAGAGACATGCAGTGTACACCATGCCTGTTTGGATTCTGCGAAGATTGTGAATTCGGTTCTGGATAGGCAGCCCTGTGCCATGACCCCAGTCAGACAGCAGAGGAGTGCATCAGCATTCTAACAAAGGATTGTTGCACGTTTTGGGACCACATTCTGTGGTGTCATCAGATACAGCAGGGTAAAAATTCAGACAACACAATCCCACCTCCCAATTGTGGAAACTGGACTTTCCTTTACACAACTCTACTGTACTTCTTGGCAGCCATTGTGCTTGTGGTCAAGGGTTTAGTGCAGAAACTTGAACCAATGGTAACCCCACTGTGCTGACTTCAAGTGGCCAACATTGCCTTATCTTGCTCCTCAATGACCAATCGACCTGGGGAGGATTTCAGTTCTAGCATTCCTTGAACTTCGCTAGCAACACAGAAAATTCCGATCCAATCAGTCCTACTTTGGTGAGAGATCTTGGTGGTTGCAGTACAAGCCAGCAAGAGAAAAGCTGGCGAGTCCCAGTGCGGCAGTGATGAATCCCACTTTCCAGGAGCCAGTGTCCGATGTGGTTGCACATGCCAGGCACACCATTGGCCCCAGGAATGCAACACACTGCGCCAGCTTCCTCACAGTGGCCACCTGCAGGCCAAGGGCGAAAGAAGTCATCCACAACTGCAGGAATCCTTCTCAGTGTGGGAAACAGCATCGCATCAAACACGAGGGAAGAGAGATGTTATTTTGGCCAATGGGAGGGTAAACCCCTCTCACCTTCCAACCATTGGAGATGAGGTAGTCTGCGAGGGGTCCAGCAATGGCTGATGTGGTGATCGCCGCAAGCGGTGGCAGCAGCGACAACTCAGCCGCGTTTGCCAGCGAAACACCCAATGTGTCCTTGAGGTACGTTGGCAACCATGCCAGCATCGTGAATTGAAACCTGGAAAGACCATTGTCAGTGATCATCAGTCCACCTGAGCCAGAGTGCAGGGAGCACAGGGTGTTGATGTACATACCAAGTGACAAAGTACCCAGTTCTTTATTGCATGACTTTAAGCATGCTCGAAATCCGTTTTTACTGAATACAGCAAAATACAATGCACTCTGACAAAACCATGCTGCGCACTAACAGCATGATCGTCTAGAGCAAATGGTGGACACTGGGTCGATCTGATCGTGATGGCCTTGATAGTCAGAACACAACTGAGTGGTTATTTCCAGATGCAAGGCCTCTTTCCAGCCCAGCAGAGGCCACACAGATAATGATGACGATGTTGGCCCTGATGACTTCCCATCTGGATGATGTGCTCTCAGATGCCCAACAACAGAATGGTAGCTGGGTTTGTGTTTCCATTGCACAAATGAATTTGCAAGGATTTACAGCATTTTGACTTCAAAGACCAGATAGTTGTACTCTACCCTTGAGGAACAGTCTGAAACAATGCCAATCAAACTTACCAATTGTTACAAAAATGGGTGAACATGAGAGCCTGGACTGGTTGGGACTTGAGCAGCCTGCTCCACGGAATGGGCTCCTGGTCTTTTGTTGATATGCCTCGCCCCTTGAGGTCCTCCGCAACCCCCTTCTCCTTCTGCACAACGTCACTGAGCACTAACTGGAACCATGCCACCCAAATCAGCCCAAGTCCCCCAAAACATGTGAACACTGCTGGCCACCCAAAGCCCTCAATCAAGAGTGGGGAGATGAGCAGCCCCAGCAGGCTGCCAACATGCAGGCCGGCAAAGATGAATGCTGTCGCACGAGACCTCTCCTCCCTTGGCATGATCCTGAATGGAATGAAAACGTCATGGGTATTCAATCATTGTGGGTTTGAACAGCACCTCACATCTCCTGATAGATACAAGGGCATTGCTCTGCCACATTTGGCTGAATGTTACTGAACTGGATTCCAAATGTCACGCTGAATTCTGCAAGACAGATAAGTGACAACATCAGCACTTTCCAATGGAATTCCAGCACACCCTTCGCATCTCGGTGCACAGGTCCCTATCAATGCTTACCCGTTGGCCATCTGCAACAAATGAATATCAGACTCGCACGGCACTCACTGAAATGCCTTTGTCTGTGAGGATGGAGCAAGGAGCTGCAAAACATTGGGCAAAATTGGAACAACAAGCCAACACAGTGGTTGTCTGCATGCTCATACAGCATGATAGGTGTACAGCATAGGATCTCTAGTTATAATGTATGTCTTCTGTTCCAGAACAGATGTCATTGAGAATGGCCATACAGCAGTATATTATACACTTCCGCATCGAAACTTAATGCTTGGTGTTGTTTTTATGCGGAGCCATATCAAAAATGTAATGGTGCAAAGAAACATGCAGCAACCAAGGCTACGATGCGAGGGTCTCTGGCCTGCTCCTAGCATATGATGGCCCAAGACGCTGTGGTGGAAATCTCGCATTCGAGGCCATGCAGACAGACCGGAGTTGCCAGTTCAGCTGCGACTGTGATGTAAAGTGCCAAAGGAACGGTCTGTTGGAAAAGCGCAAAGCAAAAATCATAACGATGAAAATTCAAAATGCAGAAGGGCTGAATACACTACGGTATCTTAACATAGATGAGATCAAATGTTCAAAAACATATCAGAATCGGAAGACCAGGTACCAAAAACTCCAAGGGCAGCTCAAAACACATCAGACAACATCTCCATGGCTCCATTCTACGTTAGGTGAAAGGGCGCCTATGTGGGTGAAAATCGGCGATTGTACGACGGTCGCCGAACACAGTCTAGGAACATGTCGAGACGACCCTTCCCACAATGTGATGAGTGTGCTGCTCTTCAGACAATGAGGTGTTGCGATTTCTCAAAGAGCAGCCTTGGCAAGCTGTCTGGAAGAGAACTCCCTCACCTTAGCCACTTTGACATTTTCTGGAAACCAGGAAATTTTACATTCCTTGACCAGAGTCGTGGGGGGGGGGGCGAAGGGCTGTCAGCTTTTCATTAACTGCAATTGATTCCAAATCCTTAATTGGATCTAAATTTTGGACGCTATCCTCCATACTCACAAATATGAACACGAAAAATTTCTTGAATATCTGATAAGGTTTTACCACAACACCAATGGTGTTAAATCAAAGGGGCCATTTGTTGTGGGACAGAGGAAGTACTCATTACCCATAATAACAATAATATAACAGTTTTACTAACTACTAGGGTGCTTGCTAGAAGTACTGACACTGCCTGATGATCCAAACTTTGTAGGTACATGGGGAACAACCGGTGCATCATGTTCACGCTGCTGCATTGGATACATGAATGCATCAGTGCTATCAGCAAGGATCTCCATTCCTTTCATCCACTCACCTGGCGACCATGTCAGTGGCTGCAGCAGGCGATACTGCTTCCCCAAGGCCCACCAGGGCCCTAGAGAGGCACAGGCCGGGTATGGTGGCCCCCAGCATCGGCACACCCACAGTTGCGAGGGACCAGAGTGCCACACCTGTGGGCAGCACCCTTGAGCCAGAGAAGCGGCTGGACAGGTAGCCCCCTGGGATCTGGAACAGGAAGTAGCCCAAGAAGAAGGACGACTGCACCAGGCCGGATATGGAGGGGCCCCACCCAAAATCCTGGGCCATGGGAATGATGGCCACTGACATGTTCACCTTGTCCTGCAAAGAGCCCAAAATCGATGTTGCTTTTTAGCGCTGTCCTGCTTTTTACAAAGTTTCTATTACTATGTAAAACACCACTGCAAGACATAGCAACATGTCCATCATCTCCCAATTTCTTTTTCCTTTTGCTGTTGTTGATTTTCTTCTGAATCGCTTCTGGTTTGCAGCAAACAATTCACACACATCTAGAAGTCGACGATGGGCACACTCTTAAACTGTTAGATTTAGGTCACATAAAAACACATAAATGCATGAACTGGGTTATTCATTTATTCATATATTACTCACCACTCACAGACTGTGGTACTGTTGTTCGCAGCGCGATCAGTGCCATGCAACTGTTCACTGGTTTAGGAACTATACCACGCTAAAGCAACCAATGTGTGTGCCTGGCAATTGTCCAAAGGGACTTTGATCATCTAACAAGGAGCATGAGTCCCAAAACCTTGAATTTGCATAGGGGAATGAGACCATTTCAGCAATACTGCCCAGTACTGATGAGCTGCATCCACTAGGTCGTGCCTATCAGGTCAGTGAAGTGTTCCCCACAGACACTCTCTTGGTGTCTTTCCAGGCGATTGGCAAAGCTGTCCCAGAAATGTGCCAGATGCAATTGACGATAAGTCTGTCTGAGCAGTGCACATCACAACATGAATGTCTCGTGGACGTAGCAAATTTTCGAACACCTGCCTCCAGCCCAAATGCACACACTGTGCCACTGTTCACACCGCAACAACGTGCACAGGATGTGGGACGTATCCCACATCAAAACACCTGTGAACAACGGCGCCCCCACCATGTTGCATATGATGAACGCCCCCGCAGACGCCGCCAGGATCTTGTACTTGCCCCCAAGCGTGGCCCAGGACCACTCCCCCGCCTTCCCCTCCAGGTCCCCCGCCCCCACGTGGGGCGAACAACTGCAGTCGCCCTGCTCGCGCACACCAGGCCGCCCGGGCGACGGGCACGTCGACTCCGCCAGGCCCGTCTCCGCGCCCTGCACGTCCGTCTGGCGCTGCGCCTTCGCCAAGCGCCCGCGGCGACGCGTGGCCCCCCGGCATGACGCCCGGCGCCCGATCGGCGCCAGGCCCAAGTCCATGGGGACGCGATGGACCCATTCGGCGACGCTCCTGCGCGCAAGGCCCGGGAAGATCAAACGGCATCCAGGGCGGCGACCACGGGGAATGGGAGGCCCAGCTCGACCGCCGAAGTCATGCAGCCGTGCTCGGGTCCTGCCGGCGCCAACATTGCCCTGCGGGCATCTCCGCCACGCGCGTGAGCGGACGCACTCCGCCCGTTTCGCGCCAGTCCATCCGTTATATCGTTGGCAATTTATTGCGGGTGCGCGATGTTTGGGAGCAGATTTTTGCCTGCAGTTTGGCGCGCGGGCATTTGCGGCAGTCCGATGCCCCGAGGGCCCACTCACCCGTCGCCGCTTGCGCGGGGCCGCGGCCGATTCGCTCGCAAATGGAGCATCGCCCCTCGCTGCTGGATGGGCGCAGGGCGCACTCTGAGCTCCTGGGCGGGCGCGCAGAGTGGAAGTGCAGAACTGCAGCGGGACGCCGATGGAACGCGTGGTGGCTGGCTACTGGGCCGCCTGCCCTTCGGAAGGACTGGACTGGGGGCCTCGCAGAAACTGGCGGGGAGGCAGGCTAAATGTGACAATCGAAACATGGCGCTGGAAGACGGCGGGCCAGTCGAGAGGCAACCGTACATTAGATGCTCCACTTGCTCTTTGCGAGTACACACCGAGCAACGCGCAATGGCATTCTGCTCCAGCAGCCGTTGCAAGCCACATCCAACAAAGTTCGTAATCCGCTTGGCAGTTATGATTTATATCATGTAAACACCAAAAGTCCATTTTCAGTTTTGGGGAGAGGACTTTAGAATCAATTCGGAATTGCTGCACCACCTTGCCATATGACTATGTGGTGTACTCGTTGGGCCACCCGCGGCTGCAACCGTGTTGAGGCTGGCGTTTTGCTGACAAGAAGGGTGGAGGCGCGTCTGACAGGCAGCCGTTTTGCTGATTGCGGAAGCAACGTCACTCTCCCGGGTTCGCGTCTGGTTGCAGAGGAGATCGCCGCAGAACGGGGCGGACAAGGCGCGCACAAAGCACGCGCACCTGCGACACCAGCTGGAGATGTGTGCGGGAGGGCGAGACCTCCAAAGGGGCGGTGGCACAAAACGGGCAGTGGAAATGTCTCTTGGGCCTCTGCCGCGACAAGTGCCAGTCACCTGTCCATCCAAGCCGTAAACAGCACGGATTGCAGTCGCCGGACCACAGAAAAACAAAGAAGCCGCGCTCCCCCCTTCAACCAACCGAGGTTCACTCACAATCACGAACCTCCGCCACCAGCATACTTGTGTTCAGGAAGTCGACCTCCATCAGCCACGTCCCGTCGCGCGCCGTGGTCCCCGCCACCACCTCCGGGAACCTCCTCATGAACCCCGCCGTGGACTCCAGCGCCGTGGGCCGCCCGAACATCTTGTTGAAGCAGTACCGCAGCGCGTAGAAGTCCGTGGGGAACATCACGTCCGCAGTGCCGAACTCGGGGTCCAGGTAGTCCCAGTGGTCCACCGCCTCCCCGGCCACCACCGACCGCACGCTGGGGCCATTGGCCCCCGGCATCACGGGCCCCGGCAGGACGTCGAAGTCCGCGAATATGCACTGCGCGCGGGGGGCAAATTTCTGGATGGCCCTCAGGAGCTTCAGCTGGCCGGTGGGCAGGTAAACCACGCCGGACTTGCCCCACACGGCCAGGCTCGCCGGGTGGGCGCCGCCCGGGCGCGGCCGCAGCATGGTCTCGTGGGAAGCCAGCCAGGAGTCGAATCCCCACATGGGGGATGGCCGCGGCGCGTGCTTGTGGTCCCAGGCCTCCTGCGCCTCGACCAGGAAGTCCATGCACTTGTGGATCAGGGGGTCCTCCACGCCGTAGAAGAGCTCCTTGTGGGACGGGGGGCGGGCGGGGGTGCCCGGCGGGGAGCGCCGGGCCTGCGGGAAGTCGCGGTAGCCGGGCAGGACGGGGTGGTCCGCGGGCATGACCTCCGCCTGCCACGCCCAGCGGTCTTCCGGGTTGAAGACCACCTGCGGGCGTCGGACCAAGGGACGTCAATCTGACGCTCGCGAGAAGCAACGCGGCGACGCCTGTGTCCGGTTGACGATGCAGCCCAGCTGGTTGTCTCTTGAGGACCGTGCACCGTGCACCCCGGAAGCACTTCCGCTGCAACTTCCCCGAAGCTGCAGCGTGGCCAGTGCCTTCATCCTCAGAAGATGACAATTGCCATAGAGTATTCACAATTTGTTGACATACAAAATCCCTTGACGTGTTGTCGGAGCAGACCTCCTGCAGCCGGCGCTGCTCAGGCGCCACTACAATGGACGCATGGCAGGTGCATGTTGTGGTGAGTGCAGATGGTTGCGGTGCACCAAGGAACATATTGGGTTGACTAGTGACAAAGGAGCTCATTTGCTGCACGTGCACGTTGTGCGACGACTTCCCACACCGTGTCCCGCGAGCACGCCAACGGTTGCCGGTTGTGTTTGTGTTGGGCAACCACGGGTGAAAGGCTCCGCAGCCCCAGGGGGGCTCGCCTTAATGCGTTCAACCAGCAGCACTGTGCCGCGGTCAGACCGAGCGCCGTGCATTCTCTTTCCGTGGCCTTGGCCACTGACCGCGGATCGGATCGCTTCCCAAACTTCGGACAGACAGCTGGTGCGACAACTTTGATGTTCTTGGTGCACAAACCATGGCACCAGCTGATTCCTACCACCTGTCACCACCACTTGAACGTTCCGAAGGTCGAAAGTGACGTCTGGCGCCAAGCGTCACACACGCCATGCATTCGCCGGACCACTCCCCGCCCACGCGTCCAGTTCGCGCAGGGCGCGGACGCCAAGGCGTCGCCAGCCAACCGCGCGGCTTCCCACCTTGTCGTGCGGCAGGTTGTCCAGCACCTCCAGCGCGATCAGGAAGCAGTTCCTCGAGTGCGAGATCTTCTCCTGGACCTCCAGGGCGCTCTCGTTCACCACCCGCACCTTGTCAGCAAGTCCGGCCTCCGCCGCCCGCCGGCCCTGTGCCTCCGCCAGCGCGGGGCTGATCTCCAGAATCACGTACTCCGTCAATCTGCCAAACTCCCGCGGCGACGCGTCCCTCAGGTGGCCGAGCACGTCCACCATGCACGTCCCGCTGCCTCCACCAACTTCAATTATTTTGAACTCTTCGTCATCATCCCTGTCGCGGGCCTGCAGGCAGTTGAGGATGTGGGAAGCCAACGCCCGGCCGTACCATGGCCGGAAGATCTCCACGGGCGTCAGCCATGCGCCGCCGCCGGTGTCGTAGTGGCGCTGCACACGCAGGTGGTACTCGCGCGGGCCGGAGAGGGAGCGGAAGTCGATGGGCTGCCGGAGGCCCCTGTTGGCCTCGCCGATGTGGGCGTGCTTGGCGAAGTAGCCCTCGTCCTTGTTGTACAGGAACTCTTGGAGGAAGTCGCGCAGCAGCACGGGGTGGGGAGGCAGCGCGGCGCAGCCGGATAGAGACCTATTGGAGCAAAGCTAATGGAGTCAAGGGGTGGAATGTGCCGTGACAATACGAGCAAAGAAATGCTCCCAGTTTCTCAGAAACTGGATAAAGGATGCGAGGCGATGGATGAAACAGTGCCCGGCGTACGGGGTGCGTTGCCCGATTGGTACACCAAACACGCCGGGAATTCGGGACATCAAGGACCAGCGAGACTGTGCATGAGCGGGCGACACCTGTGGGCTGCAGATGTGGTCGATCCACAAACCTGAGCCACAAAACTGCGTCTGCTACGGTATGGGGATCCCAATTTCACAACTGAAGAGTCCCTGAATGCGCCCTGTGGTCACAGGATGCACACAACTTACTTAAGGCCTGGGACTGGCGAGCCAATCTGTGCGTTTTGTTCAGTATGAATTTTGCCATCGCAAACAAAGCTTCACAGTGAAATTCTGAAAACCAAAAGAACTAAGAAATGGAAACAATGTCTACAACAGTGTGTGCAATATTGGAGCCATTGCTGCCACCCATGCCGCTATACTTATTACAGTAAGACACCATCGGGATGGGGGAAGATTCTGCAAATGGGCCATCAGTCAACAATAGCAATCAGTCAACTATAGCAAGCAGTCATGATTCACCCATATCAATATTCATCAATAGTCAATAATAATGATCGAGATAGCCATGCTAATCAAGTTGGGAAAAGATACCAAGTCGACTTTGGTGCAGCAGCAAAGAAGCAATAG